AATAGTTCGAGGGGGAAAGGAGGAGTAAGACGCCGTAGGGTAGTCCGTAGGAAGACCTAGAAAAATAAAACAAAACCTTGATGCCTGAAACAAACACTAATGGACGCTCCGGAGTATTTATCTCCGAAAAGTCGCAAACAAAGTCGCAAACCACGGAACCGAGTGTAGGTTCGGGCCCACGGGAGTAGAAAACGCTAAAGGGACTTGTTTAATTTTTATTTCGCTATGTGAGACGCACCGGAGCTAATTGAATCGATGGCGGAGCTAATTGACTCGACGAGTCAGGCCTATTGGCAAAGCTAAGATCGGTTATAATTCGCTAAGTTCGACGCTTTCGAACTTCTCGGGTCGCTGAGATCGTAACGCTGATTCTCTGAGATGGTGAAGTCGAAACTTGTTTTTCTGTATGCTACTTTGTACAATTTATACTACAGGAATGGCTTTGCGACCGTTCGGAGATAAATAACAAATAAACACCGCTACCCACAGGATTGCTCAGCACTTTCCTCCGCTATACCATACACCATACGACTCTCTTGCGCTCACACTTGCTCTTTCCAGCCCCTATAGGTCGCCTCAACGCTTCGCCACCTGACCCAAGCGGTCCCATCACTCCGTGCGACACGCCAGTCACGTGTTAATTACCTCCGGCCGTTTGCTGACTGATGCTGACCTTATGGTGACTCGTATGCGTCTGCACCTTCGGTATCTTGACGGAAACGAGGGGGAGTGAGTGCTGGAGGGCGGGCATGAGGAAGACGCCCCTCGATAGAAGTGTCCGCGGGTCCCGGAGCTAATGCAGCTAGAAGTCGCATTGGTTAAGTCACTCCGGAGCTTCGGTGCGCAGAGATAAATCGCGGAATGGGTCCGAGTACGCCTCGAGGATGTTGGGAAGTCCGGAGCTAAATAGAAAAAGTCTTTTAGAGCCCATAGAAGCCTAGAGGCGTGCGAGCGCTGTGTCGAATAAGCTCCGGGGCGCTTGTATGATGTGCTGAATCCGCGTTTTCGGGGGTCAGACGATCCTGAGG